AAACGTAAACTTTTTTTTCTTTCTCTCAAGTATGCTTCAAGTATGGAGCATGGTTAATTTAGAGATTAAGTTCCAAATTAGATTATCTAATGGCATCTTAATGGATTGCTGACCCATTTCCTGTGGGATGGCAGCATGCTAGTCTGGCTGGAATACAATTAATTTCTTAGGAAGTGTTCTGAAGAGTTTGCCTAGATAAAAAGGAAACATTGTGTTGTGCACATCTTTCTTTATAAACGGAGAAAGTTAGGCCAAACTACTACAAATCCCAATGTATTTTTCAACAGCCAGATCCTAGATACCGTGTGTGTGCATGTGTGTGTGTGTGTGTATATTTCATGATGATCATTTTTCCAAATGGGAAAATTTTAGCTTTTATTAGGATGGAGTAATTTTTAAAATAGAATACTGTACACAAATACAAAAAGCAACACTAGTTTGTAGCCCTGTTACCAAACAAAGATCATGTTCAACTTTGGCTTTTGTAATTCTTTGTCTTGAACCAAAGGTCATGCCATTCATCTACCTTATCAGTACTTGTAGCATAGTCCCAGAGTGGTGCTAGAGGCCCAGAGTGGTGGGGGAAAGTTGAACATTTTGAACACACTTTAGAGCTGACAGCTGAAAATGAAATTCAGCACTCTGAGAATACAGCTCCTCCCAGGAACTCCAGGATCACCCCAGCTGTTGGACTATAGGGATGTGGCAAGATAATAAACTGAAAGCAGAAAGTACTAACCTAGTGAATCTGTAGGGATAGAAGGTTGGGCAATCCTACTTCCGTAGTGATACTGCCTCGGAAACCCAAGGAGGGGTCGCTATGAGTCAGGGCTGACTCGACGGCACATAACAACAACAACAACAACAGTCTAAGTAGAATGTGGAAATAAAACTTAACTCTTGATACCATCTCAGCGTATGATATGTACTCACCTTATCATCCATGTGCCATATATATGTGGATATATACATGAATGCATGTATACACATATACACACGTACACATACACACACATACACACACGTATGGTTTATGATTCCACTGTTTTTTGTTTAAATGTTCATTCTTAAGTCTTTTGGGAGATTATATATCAAAAACAAATATTTATGGACAAAGCAAAAGAAAATAGTTGAAGACAGCATTATGCAAATAAAGGTTATATGTATGAAATGACTGCTATTACCCCTTCCTTTTTGCCCTTCTCTTGACCAACCAGATCTAAATAATCTTTACTGGCTGCTAACTTTCTCTTGGGATATCAAGCAACTCTCTAGAATTGCAGTAATAAACGACAATTTCTTACAAAAACATGTGTAAGGTAACTACAGAATGAAGTATTCACTCATAGAAAGGAACTGCTAACACATGTAACATGGAAAATAGCTGATAAAAGTCTCTTTGGTGCCATTCAATTATGGCATCAGCAGAAACACAGAAATCCTTCCAATTATTTCAGTAAAATCTTCATTTATTCATTATTTCAGAGGCTGAGCAAATGGTTTGTGTAAACATATCCTTCAGTAACACGCACATGTTTATTTTAGCCATATGAAGGCTTCTTCTATGTTTACATAAGCCACCAGACACATACAACCCCTCACGTGGGGCTTTGCGTTTTCTTGAAAGGGGTGAAGGGGGAGAAGGAGGAATGAAACAATAAATTCAGTTTCTCTTTTGCATACAGAACTCCCTCTAATGTTTTAAAATAACTTATGTTTATATTATTCTTGGATTGTCTTTTGGCTTTCTTTCTCATTCAATTATATTACTCTTTCATATTTGATAGAACAAGCTATGTTCTGGGTATAGTTTCAAGAAAGAAAGCCAGTTAGGGAGTAACTGCTGTATGTGTTTATACCCACGTAATTCACATATGCAACAAGGCAATTTATCCATATAGGAGGACAAAACACAAACACAAAGGTACTTAGCATAAGCAGTTCATCACCTATTACCCCCCCAAGAGCTGAGCCTCTCCTGACTGAAGTTGAGTTCTTAACCAACAAGGGATTTTACTCTGGGTTAACTGCAGGATCAAACCTTTCGCTCTAACAGGAAAATTCACTTTTTCAACGTGCAAGCAACTCCTTCACACACCAACCTACAAACGGCTCACAAAATTCTTAAGTCAAAACAACAAAACACCTTCAGGGTTGCAAGTCTGTGAAAACTTTCCAAAGGACTCAGCTTTGGTTCTTAAGAGAATGTTTATACGTTATGAGGAAAGAGGGTGGAGGATGGAGGAAGGCTTCCAGCTTTGATTACACTTGCACAGTTCCCTGGGCGCTGCCATTTTCTGTCCTGTGAAAGGAGCTGCATTAGGCATGGCAACACCTCTCCAGCAGAAAAGGTGGTGACTGTGGACAGGTGACTGACCGTGTGACGAAAGTAATGGCAACAACAAGAAATGATCAAAGCAATAGAAAACAAAGCTACCCCAAAAACTCTCTTTGCTTTGTCCTTTTCTACTACAAAGTCTCCAGGTACAAAGTAAACCATGATATTTTCTTTATTCCTTTCTGACAAAGGGGAATTAGTTAATTCTCTGGTTGAATAGATCTACATTTCTCGGATATTTTCAATTTATTCAGGTAATCTCGAAGCTATTGCAGTACCTGAAGATTTTAGATATCTACTATCTGTCTTGGAAGTAACAATACTACTGACATTTAAGATTTCTTTTCTTAAAACAACTCAAAAACATTAAGAAAATGCACAGTGCACAAAATATAAATTATGGAAAAAGCCTTTGTGCCATAAACATGCTCTATTTGTGACAGCAAATATGGATTCGACTTATGTCACTTTTTGAAAACTGTAACAAAGCAAAGCAAATTGCTATTTTATTTGAGTATATTCATTCTGAACAGTATAATGCTTAGATGTGTAGAAATGGGAGAGCTTCTGCATTGGGGCAGTACTAGGCAACAACAAGAGATTCAATAAACACCAGGTGAATGTCTGAACGCAATGGTGACATTATCAATTCTGAGACTTCTGAAGTAGGATAAAAAGGGAAGAAACACACCAAAAGCTACCTTCTTATGAACGCTTGAAGCCCTGATACCATTCTACACATCAAGTATATATTAATTAGAAGATAAACATTACTGTGTTTGAGATGGGGGTGGGAAAATGGGGAATTATAAGTAAATAAATGCTTTTTTATTGGCTTGCTACTACCTGAAACTGATTATCACGCCAATTTTTCACCAATGAGATTTATACCATGAACAATATTCTCCTAAAAGGATGAGTTTAGTCATCGTACATTTCACTATGATACATTTGTTCTGTGGGGATTCAGTACCCACTCATGTTTTCCTTTTTAGCTGGATCAATTTTTGACTCAAAACTTAATAAGAACTAGCTGCACTTGTATTTTAAATCCCCACAATATAAATCCTTATTTGGCTTTTAAATATACTTCAGACGTAATACCCCATTTTAGAATAAGTAAATGTTAATCAGTTATCCACAGACTTGGAAGTTCACACAGCTACACGCACATTTACAAACCTGAAGCACACTTCATCTGCCTTTCAATTTTGTAACACTTGTACACAGGCATGGGTCACCTTCCTAAGTGATAGGTGGATCATGGGTTATAAGGAAGTTACGTAATATAATTAAATCTACTGTTATCAAATCCAATTAAGTTAATTTATAAATACTAATCAAGACTAAACAAGAGACTTTCATTGAATTTAAGACTGCCAATTAAGATTATTAATTAAGACTATTTAAATAGGACACTTTCATTAAGTTTATCTTCTTTTCATAGTATACACTGTATTTTTTCCAAATAGAGAATACCAGCTACTTGCAAACAATCAAAATATGAAAAAATGTGTAAATTTTTTTAAAGATGCATGTTATATGAAACATCCATCTTTAAAAAGAGGAAAAGTCATATTGTATTCATTTTAGGTAATGAATGAATAAAAATTCATTTAAAGTTTTAAAAATAGAATCCTACGAATTTTCTGAGTTTTTACCCAAGTAAAAGCAGACATTTAAAAAACTTAATTCTTTGAAATGTTCCTCTTCAGCAGGTTCTATCAGCAGGCATGAAAATGGGCAGCCCATTCACTGACTGTGTACTTTTAACACAGACACTTTCTGTAAAGAGAATTACAATCATAGCAGAGTTGGAAATTGTGTTGGCTCTGCTTCTGGTGATCTCCTTATAGGATTACTTCACTTTCTCCTGCAAATTTTTATCACTTATTATATATGATTATACCATTGATTTTAATTATTTGATTTGTCAATCTGAACACAATTTGTTCTTTATTAAAATAACACATAATAAACTGACATAGGACTACTTACTTTCCGAAACTAACACATGAAACAATATCAAAACTGGTTTTGAAAACGAAGTTTTGGAATAATTTTCCAAGCCAAGCACATAAAGTCAATCTTCAATCGTCAATGATCCACACCAATGCACAGAGACATTAAAATAGTTTTTAAGCCAAATTCCTACTTTAGCAAACACTCTTTATGCCTGCTGCTAATAACAGCAAAATTGATTCATTTGAAATTTGCCTTGTAGTTTTTTTCCCTCTAATAGGGGAATGATGAGTAATAAACTGGCTTACAGTGAGCAGTAGACATGAGCTGAAATGAAAAGATTCTATAATGTGAAAACCCAATATTTTATCCTCACGTAGTTGAAAATCTTCCTTAAAATTGTGATTTCATTCTTCCGGTCCTAAAACTTAAGTGTCAAATTTCCCCCCACAATATTACAAATTGTCTAAAACATCTGCCAGCACTTAGAAATCATTAATTAGCATACGCTATAGTTTCGAATTAATTTGATGTTGCATTTAAATAAGAAATAAAAGGGGGTGGGGGGACAAGAGGGATAGTATAGCCAAAACAACTAAATTTTTAACACATATTTTCTGTAAAGCTAGTTAAAAACAAACACTATAGCTCATGTAATTTTTAGGTGTAAGTGTAGGGTTGGAAATAATTAAAATGTTACCTTTGCCAAGTAATTCCCAATGTATCCTCACTGGTACTGGGGTATAAATGCCTGCCGTTTTGATTCATGGTCCAGTCACAAATCCTCAGCTGTCAATTGAAACCTAGCAGTCAGATATGGATCGAGCAGTACTACAGTTTTTAGTATTTAAATGAACACATGCAAACTAGTACTGTACATGGCATTAACCTTACTTTCCCAAGAGGCAACTTAAAAAAAAAAAAAAAAAAGCAAAAGAAAATCTATTTTGAGAAGCAATATGCCTACCAACTCTTTTTCAGAAGGAAAAAAAATAGCTATTGCAATGTGCTTCTCTTAATTAAAGCATACAGGAGAAACGAGTGCTTAGAACATAACAATTAGCCATTATTAGAGTACAAATTGAGCTGAAATTAAAGCAAACGTTAATGTTCAATAGAGATATATATTTTAGAAAGAAAATAAAAATGTTTTTTTTTAATTTCCCTATGCAACATACCAAATAATCTGCACTGAGGTAAAATAATAACTTTAAGCATGCAGTTCGCAGAACATAGAAGACATGCAGTTTAGAGAAGAAATGCCCCACCCTACAGCCATCCTTCCTAACTTGTATTTAGAAGTCTCAGGTATTGAACAGTTTTTAGGTGTTTACTAATTTTGTTTTAGAGTTGGTAAGCATTTCTACTCTAACTCTGAGTTCAGAGTAATAGCATTTTAAATACTTTATTACATCTGAATAGGGTGAGGAATGCATTGAATACAAGCTGAAACAAATTCTTCCCAGATCTCGGAATCATCAGCTCTGCCTTCAGAGATTGTTCCAGTAACTCTATCCAGTTCTGTTTGGTTAGCAGCTGCCCTACAGTGCTAGCAGATTTATTGAAAAGATATATTGCTTATTTTTATGCTTAGGAAAGTAAACTTATCTGGCTTTGGGGGGGAAAACACGCAAGGAAATCATGGTTTTTTAACCTTTAGATAGCCATGCTGTAAATTAACTGCATCTTGCATGAAGTAGCAGTTTTTAAAATGACTTATTCCCAGCAATTCACTGAGCATTGTTAGCAGCTTTTCAGTGATGAGAGTATCTAAATGATGATGATTGGAGCAAAAGTACCTTTAAACTTGGATAAGGTATTGTATTCCTTTCCATAATGTTAAAGCTTTAAAAACTGGCTATTAAGAATCTACTTTTCCTTTCAGACTTTCAAGGTTCTACTTACTATTAAATAATAGTGACTCCGGAGTTTTAGAATGATAAAGCACACTCGTTTTTCTACAGATCCATGAGACCCCAATAATACCACCTAAAATTTCTACATATGTGTTTTAATTAGACTGATATTTCTAGTAGAACTAAGTTTATCATTTAAAGAACTGAAAAAAAATCCTTTCATGTATCTAGACAGATTGGTATGTAGCTAGCTAGATAGACAGACACACAAAGACAGACAGATGAGAGAGATTCAGGTCAGGATAGATCTTATTTAAAAAAAGCCAAAAATCAGTAACTATATTAAATAGAAAATAAAAATATTTATTCTTAAAATGTATCATAATACTTGCATAAATGTTAAAATCTATACTTGATTAATTTTAAATAAAATAGATGACAATGATTATGTTAAAGAAGTATAGTTGCTGAGAGTCTAGAGTATGAGAGGTAATATGGCAAGACTTTGAAAATGTCCTCAAAATGGGTCATTTAGCCAGAAATTCAATGTGATAGTCAAGCTGAAAGTTTTTTTTTTTTACACAACAACCAGTTGAACCACTGGTCTCTTTTAAAATGCATAAAAAAGAAAAGAAAAATAAATACTATGAACACAATCAAAAAACAGTTTAAGAATCCTGATTTTCTATAAAAATTACCTTAGAGACCATTTATTAATTCTGCCTTATCAATGAAAATGCTAGTGTTGAATCAACTAAATAATTCTCAAGAAGGGAGGAGTATATTTAGGCATAACTCGTAGTTAATCCTGTTAATGATTAACTTCAGATTAGTGTCCATAGGGTTCTCAGCTTCGATTTTAGAAGTTTTCAGACACAAAATATACTGTCAGGAGGCCAGGTGAACCTAACTCTCACTCACTGCTTGGCTGTATAACCAGATAACTGCAGGAACACAATGTCTTCGTGGTAAGATGCATATATTAACTGGTTAGTTTTATACTGTTGATTTTACAGTTGCGTGGTTTGGTTGTGCTTATTTTTACCACCCTCCCAAATGTCAAGTGGGCTATCTTTGACAACATGCTGGATAGTTAGGATCAACATACTGGTGTTTTGTTTTTTTTCTTTTTTTCCACTTTTCTTGTGTAAAAGTAGTCTCAAAGAAATTAAACCTAGATTACAACTGTTTGATTTTATCTATATTTAAGATTTATGCAATAGGAATAGTTTCCCCAAAACAGAAAAATATGCTTAAATACATACAAAATGATCACTAAATACATAAAGCAATAATTTAATGGCAAGGTAATTGGCAGGGTACTAATTATTATTGAATTAATTTCCTTTCAATTGCTGAAAATATAAAATATAATTTTAATTCTAATTACATATTTAGAATGTTGACAAACATTATCAATATTTACAAAAATTCTGAAAAAAAATTTTACAAGTAATCTTCTACATGCTTGTATGTTATAACTTTGTCAAGGTTACTTGCCTGTCTATTCATGTAGCATCTTTAAATTAATAAACTTTCTGATAAAGTGAAATTTTAAAGGTGATGGTGTGAGTCAGGGAAAGAAATTAAATAATTAAAATGGAAATCACCTATTTACCAGATTTCCCTGATAGCAATTCCAAGAATAGCAATTCCTAGGAATCCCATTTGATCAAGACAGTCTTAACTCAGTGAAATTAGAAGAGAAATAATGAAATGATGAAAGGTGAGTATTACGTATATTTACAATTCTCTCAGGCAATGTTAAATATTCTTGATATTAGTACAATTCAGTATTTCTAATAGAAACTAATTGTACATTAGATAATATGTTATAGTCTTATCACCTCCATTTCTGTCCTGTAAGAGTCAAGGTTATAGACAATTCAACTGTCAGTTCTTTCTTTTAAAAAAAAAATCAATCTAAAGACCTTTATTTTAACATGATACACAAATACATGCTTTTTATTTATTAAAAAAATAATTTCCTAAGCCCAAATCTTCAATAACAGTGAAATTATTTCCCCTAATATTTTCCCATGAAAAATGGGAAATTATTTTCCCCAGTAGTAATCAAATTTAAAACACTAGGTACAGATTAATTTAGAAATTTAGTCTGTTAAAGGCATTTGTATCTGGAAGTGGGGAGCAATTCTTATTTTTGTAACATCGCCTCTTTGACAGACCTTATTGTATGCATACCTCTACTGCACACGCATACAAACATTTTAATTCTTTCATGGATATGACTCTACCAGTATAAAATTATATTCTTTCTAGTAAATTAGGGCAAAAATGATGTTAAAACAAGTATGCCTGAGATAATAAAAACAAACAAAAGGTGAAAAAGTAAGATTCTCTTCCAAAAAGCTATAGATAAAGGGGAATGCTTGAAGTAGTCCAAACAGGTAACAAATGACAGAACCCTAGTTGCACAACAGTTAAGGGCTTGGCTGCTACCAAAAGATTGTTGGTTTGAACTCACCCAGTGGCTTCATAGGAGAAAGACCTGGTGATCTGTTCCTATAAAAATTGTTGTTGTTGTTATGTGCCCTCAAGTCGGACCTGACTCATAGCTACCCCTCCTTGGGTTTCTGAGCAGTATCATTACAGAAGTAAATTGCCCAACCTTCCTTCCAAGAAGTGGCTGCTGGGTTTGAACCACCTTCTGGTTAGCAGTCAAGTGCCTTAGGCACTACGCTACCAGAGCTCTTCCTATAAAGATTACAACCTAGTAATCTCATGGAAGTAGTTCTACTCTGTCACATGGGGTCAGTGTGATTTGGAATCACGTCCACAGCACCTAAGAACGACAGCTTCTACTACAGATGTTCTTAAGGTGGGATTCCGTAAAGTCTCTGGAGTGAGAACTGTGTTCTAAACTGAAATCAAATGAGCTTACTTCCGAAAAACAAAGATGGGGACCATCTGGCTTCCCTCAAAAATACGCATAGGGGAAACACCTAAAATCTAGACACTTCATATTTGGATCATTATCTTTTCCTACCCTACACTCAAATAGTCATGAAAATGGCTGATACCCCTAAAGAATCAATATTGTTTATAACTTCTGAGTAAGAACTTGTTTGTGCAAATGATGGCTCTCCAGTTTTCTTAACAGGGACTTTTGTTAAACGCATAGCAATTAGCTTGGGGAACAAAAGAGGGAAGGTAAGCAAAATGCGTCCTACTTTGTTTGACTCAGCAAACAGACTTATGTACTGACAGTCCCTCATGATGACAATAGATCTCAATTGTTCCAATAAACCATTAACTGTAAACAGAGTAAATAACATAGGCAAAGTTACCTTTTTTCACTTTTTTTTTTTTTTTTTTTTAAAAAGCATACAGTGATCCTCAGGGGAGTACCTTGAAAGGTGTGTTTTATGTTTTCTTGGGTTTCTTCTTTTCTCCACTCTGCCTCAAGGAATTAGATTTTGGGGGGCAGAAGGGGCTCAGGGTGAAGGAGACTTAAAAAGATTAATACTCCAATATTCATACTTTGTTCTTAATTCTTAGATTAGTAGAATATTATTACTATTATTGGCTGCCATGGAACAAATAAAATGGTCTCTGAATCAGGGATATGTAACCTTACTGCACTAGCAATATGCTCAGAATGAAACTGTGTTAAAAGTGTGCCTTTAAAATAAGCAAAAAGAAAGAGAAGAAGTTCAAGACTGTCCCATTACCTTAAAGTTACTTCTAATGTCAGTTTTGAAACCCATGCTTCCTGGTATTTAATTAGCACTGAATTAAGAGAAATGGGTATGCATAGTCCATGAACTAAATCCTACCTACAGCCATTGAGTCGATTCCGACTCATAGTGACCCCCATTGGGTTTCCAAGGCTGTAAATCTTTACAGAAATAGATTGCTTCATCTTTCTCCCATGGAGCAGCTGGAGGGTTTGAACCATTAACCTTCTGGTTA